ATCAAATTGGCCAAAATTATAGTATGTTCTTGATTTACTAATGAAATAAACTAGTAAGTAGGAGTTATGGAAGAGAAAATTCATACTAGTTGTCAAATAGGTATGGAATAAGCATTTTAAAGAATGATTGTCAAATATAGATGTCAGAAATGGTTGATTGATACTGCTTCAATTCTTTGAATAGAAATCTATTTGATATTGGGAAATACATTTAAATTTTACTTAAAACCTTAGTTTTGTGAAGCAACATTAATTACTAATGATATCGCTTCTATCTGATAGAAAGATAGATTTATAAATATTGGACTTAATGAAATGAAGCAACACCTATTTCTCAAATACACTCAATAAACTATAAGGAACTAAGAAATTTACTTAAAGAATACGGTTTCATGCTTCTAAAACTGGATCCTTTCAAAGATTAAATGAATTCAAAAATATTTTTCATCCATAATTAAAAGATCTAAATTAAATTCAATAATATTAAATTAATTAGACACATTCAGTAATCATTATAGAAATTAATAATAAATTTAAATACAAATAATCAGAAATATATTAAAAAAACAAAGAGCTTGATAATTACAACTTCAACAAAAAAGATTTGATACATGAATTAATTTAAGAACTCTAAAACTCAAATAGGTTTGCCTATATCCATAAAATCTGAGTATTCTCAAGCTAAAAGTAAAAATTATTTAAACAAACCCAATACTCTACAACAAAAAGATATGTCAATCTCTTGCGATGGAATGATAACTTATTATTAGTAAGCCTTTAGAGAGAAAACATGAACAAGTTAAAAGAGGCCTACGAACTAGTTTTAAGCATAGCTAATAATTTAGGTAAACTTGAGAGTAAGGATAAATACTTAAAATAAATCAAAATGAAAAACTCTTGAAGATCTATTAATGGAGAACTTGTAACCTATTGTAGATGGTAATGTTGTAATAAGTTAAATTCTTTAATGAAATTAAGAAAAATAGAAGAATCATACTTGCTTTATAAGCATATTTGATAAAATATCAAAATAAACTTTCTCTGAATATTTTTCAGATTAAAACCATGATGGTCAAATGAAGAGTAAGAGGTTTTGCAATTGATTTGCTAAGAAGATTAAAGAGAGTCTTCAGTTTTTTGGTGGGGAATGGTTATTTTGTAAGACACTTATCAAATTCGTTTTGACAAAATAGTTAAATGTACTAACTAAGTAAATTCCTGCCCCAAATTTGCATTTTTTACCAAAGGATCGATAGGAAAGTCTTTTATAAATGGTTAGAAAAGAGCTTACAAGAAACTTTTTATATAAGAGACTTTTTCAAGGCCATTTAAGATGATATTGATTTGATTATATTTTTTTGATACCTACTATTTTTTTATCAATGGGCCTTTAGTAAAGATAGATTATTATATATTCTGCTTATAGTTTAAATCAAAATGAAAGACATTTGAAAATTGAATCTAGTTCCAAATAAGTCTCATTAAGAAAGAAATGTTTATCATACAGATTTAATTAATTACTCTAACGAAAATTATAATTTATATACCATTTTGGCCTTCAAAGTTTTTCGCTAGTGATTTTAAGAGATTAGTTATCTTCATGACTATTTGTTGTAATTTTAATATAATTCAGACATTCAAAATTATGTTACTTGGGATTTAAGTTTGGACCCTAATGCTTATATAAAATATTTATTGAATAAATTTTGGCTAATTAAATAAACATTCTATAAAGAAATTTACCTTATCTTCTATTGGAACCTTTATTCTTACATAAATTATAAAATGATAAGATAAATTATAATTTAATGTTTTAAAGAACATTGTAATTAGTAACTACATAATATTCATTCATTCATACTCATCATTAATTAGACACTAGTTAATAATATAAATTTGATATTTAACACAATTCTACTTAAATTTTATAAAACGTATTAAAGGGGATTTTATTTCATTTAATTTATTCTTTTAAAGTATATTGGAAAGTAGTATGAAATAACATAAGCAGGCAAATGATTAAGTAGTTTTTGAAATTGGTTCATTTTCCATATGAAATTAAATCTACCTTTTCTGTTTAACCTTTAAAACTAGTGTAGGATAATAACTTTTGCTCTGCCAACCTAATAATCAGGGTTAATAAAATTCAAAAAGTCTACTAAAAATACCGAATCTGTTTCAATCAGAATGATAACTGCATGAAAAAAATTAACAAAAGTTATACCTCATGTACAAAATGCAAACCTTATCATATATCGTTTTTCAAGAGCACCAAATAATCATAAATGTTCCCCTTGTTCTAATAATTTTTATTACGAAAATATATAGGATGCATGACTTATTGTAAATTTGAGATTTTTAAATATTCAAATGGATTTTGATAGGAATTTGAAGGAAACATTACTAGTTTATTTTAGATTCTTAAATTGTAGAGAATGATGATTCTGTATCATAATTCAAAATTTTTTTTTAAAAAAACAATAATATATGGCCTATTCCATTTAGATACATCTTCAAAATATATTAATGCAAATTGTAATGTCTATGTCATTTTTTAATATAATTCTGGAATAGCTAGACTTATAAATGAAATAAGCGCATATAAAATTATCTATTCTTATGGGATTAGAATAAAATAATATCGGGAGAGGAATAAGATTTATGAATATAGGAATAAATGAATTTATGATTCTAGTGAATAGAATTTCTATAAATCCACAATAACAAAAAAGGATGGAGATTGTTATCCCTCTAAATTACAAATGGACTTTATCCATAAGAATGAAAGATATGCGAAGTAAAACGAAAATTTAATTATTTAGTATATCCTATTAATGTAAGTAATGTAAAACTAATTTTTATGCGGGTAAGAATGATATAGCCAAATGATTATAGTTAATTTTCATAAAAATTTATAACNGCATTTTTTACCAAAGGATCGATAGGAAAGTCTTTTATAAATGGTTAGAAAAGAGCTTACAAGAAACTTTTTATATAAGAGACTTTTTCAAGGCCATTTAAGATGATATTGATTTGATTATATTTTTTTGATACCTACTATTTTTTTATCAATGGGCCTTTAGTAAAGATAGATTATTATATATTCTGCTTATAGTTTAAATCAAAATGAAAGACATTTGAAAATTGAATCTAGTTCCAAATAAGTCTCATTAAGAAAGAAATGTTTATCATACAGATTTAATTAATTACTCTAACGAAAATTATAATTTATATACCATTTTGGCCTTCAAAGTTTTTCGCTAGTGATTTTAAGAGATTAGTTATCTTCATGACTATTTGTTGTAATTTTAATATAATTCAGACATTCAAAATTATGTTACTTGGGATTTAAGTTTGGACCCTAATGCTTATATAAAATATTTATTGAATAAATTTTGGCTAATTAAATAAACATTCTATAAAGAAATTTACCTTATCTTCTATTGGAACCTTTATTCTTACATAAATTATAAAATGATAAGATAAATTATAATTTAATGTTTTAAAGAACATTGTAATTAGTAACTACATAATATTCATTCATTCATACTCATCATTAATTAGACACTAGTTAATAATATAAATTTGATATTTAACACAATTCTACTTAAATTTTATAAAACGTATTAAAGGGGATTTTATTTCATTTAATTTATTCTTTTAAAGTATATTGGAAAGTAGTATGAAATAACATAAGCAGGCAAATGATTAAGTAGTTTTTGAAATTGGTTCATTTTCCATATGAAATTAAATCTACCTTTTCTGTTTAACCTTTAAAACTAGTGTAGGATAATAACTTTTGCTCTGCCAACCTAATAATCAGGGTTAATAAAATTCAAAAAGTCTACTAAAAATACCGAATCTGTTTCAATCAGAATGATAACTGCATGAAAAAAATTAACAAAAGTTATACCTCATGTACAAAATGCAAACCTTATCATATATCGTTTTTCAAGAGCACCAAATAATCATAAATGTTCCCCTTGTTCTAATAATTTTTATTACGAAAATATATAGGATGCATGACTTATTGTAAATTTGAGATTTTTAAATATTCAAATGGATTTTGATAGGAATTTGAAGGAAACATTACTAGTTTATTTTAGATTCTTAAATTGTAGAGAATGATGATTCTGTATCATAATTCAAAATTTTTTTTTAAAAAAACAATAATATATGGCCTATTCCATTTAGATACATCTTCAAAATATATTAATGCAAATTGTAATGTCTATGTCATTTTTTAATATAATTCTGGAATAGCTAGACTTATAAATGAAATAAGCGCATATAAAATTATCTATTCTTATGGGATTAGAATAAAATAATATCGGGAGAGGAATAAGATTTATGAATATAGGAATAAATGAATTTATGATTCTAGTGAATAGAATTTCTATAAATCCACAATAACAAAAAAGGATGGAGATTGTTATCCCTCTAAATTACAAATGGACTTTATCCATAAGAATGAAAGATATGCGAAGTAAAACGAAAATTTAATTATTTAGTATATCCTATTAATGTAAGTAATGTAAAACTAATTTTTATGCGGGTAAGAATGATATAGCCAAATGATTATAGTTAATTTTCATAAAAATTTATAACTTATTGTTATTCTGACACAGAAAAATAGTAGGTGATTTGGAAGATAAACACCTTTAATTAAATTGATATTATAGATAGAGTCAAAATATTTGGCAAAATATGATACTAATTCTCCAAACTAAAAATAATAACAGCTTATTGTCTCTATAATAATCTTAATATTAATTCCTCTCCTAAAGTTAATTTTTAAATTGTAAATACAATCATATTTTACATTCTAACTTTTTCTTATTAAAATAATAATTGAGTCTTTGGTGGATAGTATTGGAGCCAGACTTTATTTTAAAGATTTATTAAATTGATAATTTCCTCCACAGAATTACTGTTTAATTTTAGATTACATATTGTTCTAGTTTTCCTTCTGAAAGAAATTTTATTTATTTAATTGATGATACTTTGCTTAATTCATATTCTAAGAATAGTCATAATTTTGTAAGGCATAAAAACTGTCATTCTTATGATATTTAACAATATAATGGTAATGTTATAGAGAAAACAATGAACCAATAATAATATATTGTGGATTTTATAAATACTTTATTGTTGTTCATTACTGCTAACCTTATTGTTTAAAATGTACAAGTTAAAATACTTGTATACATGTGGAATAATATAAAATAAACTAAAAAAATTTATCTGAGAATGAATGTCAAAATGAATAATACTATGAGAAAATTTAATTTAAATTTATAAATTGTCCTTCTTAAGCTTAACTTTTAATTGTAAATCCGCTTATTTTCTGACTAAACTAGAATATAAATGTGAAAAAAATTAATTCGAATTGAAAATTTCTAAGTTCATCATTCTATTCATTGTTTTCAATACCAAAATTTATGACTATTTTTATGTTAAGAATGTGTATTCTTAGATGGATATTAATCAGTACCCACAAACCCTAATTGTTTTAGATGCCATTAGTTTTAAAATTTGTTCAGAACCTTTTGTATGCCTAAAGTGTTAGAATATTAAATATATTAAGAAGGCTGGTTCTACATGCAAATTATGTAGGAAAATATTCTATTATTCCTTCATTACACAGCAAGCAAAGATTTCAATAGAAGTGCTGTGCTTGTTTGATTTGTTTGAAAATTTCAATAAATGGAAGGTTGACCTGTGATTCTATTGAGAGGATTGAAATATGAATGTGAAACAGAAAATTATGAAGTGAATAATAATTGTTATAGTAAATATATGAATGTTAATTTTCGATTCTCCTTTTGAAGAAGATATTCTATTATACAATAATCAATTAAATAAATGTTAAACTCTTGTATTGCATACTGATTCATTTATAGATATCTGGAAATGTAAAGAATAATAGGGATATGCAATTATATTGTACAACAATGAATTAACTTTGATTATTGAAGTTTAATAACTTAATATGTANTTTCATAAAAATTTATAACTTATTGTTATTCTGACACAGAAAAATAGTAGGTGATTTGGAAGATAAACACCTTTAATTAAATTGATATTATAGATAGAGTCAAAATATTTGGCAAAATATGATACTAATTCTCCAAACTAAAAATAATAACAGCTTATTGTCTCTATAATAATCTTAATATTAATTCCTCTCCTAAAGTTAATTTTTAAATTGTAAATACAATCATATTTTACATTCTAACTTTTTCTTATTAAAATAATAATTGAGTCTTTGGTGGATAGTATTGGAGCCAGACTTTATTTTAAAGATTTATTAAATTGATAATTTCCTCCACAGAATTACTGTTTAATTTTAGATTACATATTGTTCTAGTTTTCCTTCTGAAAGAAATTTTATTTATTTAATTGATGATACTTTGCTTAATTCATATTCTAAGAATAGTCATAATTTTGTAAGGCATAAAAACTGTCATTCTTATGATATTTAACAATATAATGGTAATGTTATAGAGAAAACAATGAACCAATAATAATATATTGTGGATTTTATAAATACTTTATTGTTGTTCATTACTGCTAACCTTATTGTTTAAAATGTACAAGTTAAAATACTTGTATACATGTGGAATAATATAAAATAAACTAAAAAAATTTATCTGAGAATGAATGTCAAAATGAATAATACTATGAGAAAATTTAATTTAAATTTATAAATTGTCCTTCTTAAGCTTAACTTTTAATTGTAAATCCGCTTATTTTCTGACTAAACTAGAATATAAATGTGAAAAAAATTAATTCGAATTGAAAATTTCTAAGTTCATCATTCTATTCATTGTTTTCAATACCAAAATTTATGACTATTTTTATGTTAAGAATGTGTATTCTTAGATGGATATTAATCAGTACCCACAAACCCTAATTGTTTTAGATGCCATTAGTTTTAAAATTTGTTCAGAACCTTTTGTATGCCTAAAGTGTTAGAATATTAAATATATTAAGAAGGCTGGTTCTACATGCAAATTATGTAGGAAAATATTCTATTATTCCTTCATTACACAGCAAGCAAAGATTTCAATAGAAGTGCTGTGCTTGTTTGATTTGTTTGAAAATTTCAATAAATGGAAGGTTGACCTGTGATTCTATTGAGAGGATTGAAATATGAATGTGAAACAGAAAATTATGAAGTGAATAATAATTGTTATAGTAAATATATGAATGTTAATTTTCGATTCTCCTTTTGAAGAAGATATTCTATTATACAATAATCAATTAAATAAATGTTAAACTCTTGTATTGCATACTGATTCATTTATAGATATCTGGAAATGTAAAGAATAATAGGGATATGCAATTATATTGTACAACAATGAATTAACTTTGATTATTGAAGTTTAATAACTTAATATGTATTGATAATATGGAGATAAAACTCTTACATAAAAAAGAATATGAAATTTTGGATAAATTATTTATATTGCATTTAAAAAAAAAAAAATTCTATGTAATTATTTCTTTTAGGATCTTTATCTTGAATGCTAAGTGGGGTATTGATATGATGTAATGAATAACTGAGGTTGGGAATATGGATATTTAGCAATTAGTGAATCAAATTTTTTATAATTTTTAAATTTTTTTGAATGAAAAATAACAAGGACTGTATTAATATAAAATAATATTAAGATTGTAATATAATTTAAAATTGAAAAAACATCATTCATTTATATAATTTTTTACTACTTAATTTAGAATAATAATCTCATATTATTAATCAAGAAAAACTAGATATACAAATTATTTAATATAAATACATAATTGTTGTTTATATATATATTTAATAAAATTTATTTAATTAAAATATTATTAAAAATCCAATTTAATGCCTATTTTTTTTAATTTATTTTAGCTTTCCTTTGTAATTCAAAAAATTATTAATTTTAATTATCTAATTATTTTAAGCCAAAATGTAAATTTTGATTTTAAACTACCTGAAATACCATCAAAAATATAAGGTTTTTCCAATTAAGATTTCTATAGGTTGAGAAAATTGAACAATTAGTAAGATATTTGCAGATATATATTACTATAAAATTCATTTCTCAATGAAGCTCAAAAGTAATAAGATGAATACAAGATTTATCTTAAAAAAAATATAATTTTTTCTATATAAAGAGTGAGAATACTTTTTTTGAAGGTGAAAATTTAGTAAGATTCAATTTGAGTGGATAATAATTTAAGTATGAGGATATTTGGGATGAATTTAAATGGAGCATAACTATTTAATAGCAAATGGAAGAGTAGAAAAATATATGAGCTGGATAGCTGTAAGAATAAATCTCTTCTATTTTCATACCCTAGCATCTAACTCTATTTTTGTGTTTTATGAGTTTACTTTGATAGTAGCTGTTCACAGTAATATGTCATTCTGTAAATCTAAAATAAAAAAAATAAAACCATTCTTTATTCAAAGTACCATTAACCATTAATTCAAATTAATAATTAAGTAAATTAAAAAAAATGAATTATTAATTAATTTGATTATTAGTTAAGGTGCTATAAATAAAGAAATTTCAGAAATTAAATATTAATTATTTCCATATTGTTTTATATTTTTCCAAAGTGTTTTTGAAATTTTATTTACAAATTACTAATTTGTTTTTAATGTACTTCTTTATTATATATCTATTGATTTTATAAACAAATTTGATGTCAAACTAGTAGTAAAATTATAAAAGATAAAGAAATTAATAAATCTAATTAATAAAATATTGATGAGTTCTCAAAAAACTTAAATTTAATCTCATTCTATTAATTGTTATGATGAACTATAACTCTTCATATAATTAAAATAATTAAAATAATATTTAGAACATAATTTCATAAGGAATCTTTGATCACTAGATTATCCAAAATTTTTAAAGCATTCTCATAAATTGTGTCATTAGGATGGCTTTATAACTGGATTACTTTTGCAATTATTTTTTAGTCTTCAATCAATTATTTATACACTGCAAATTTTCCTTCGAATTAAACTTTAATTAATGATATTATTTACTCTTCTAAATTAATTTACAACTTCCCTCTAAGGTTACTTAAGTGAATTATTCATCATTTTTGTCTAATAACCTCGACAGTTTTTGAATAAATCAATAATTAACAATTAGATATTCTAAATCTATTAATTCTGCATAAATAGCAGAATTAGATACAAAAAAAGCTATTTATTTTTTAATTTAAAGATCATTTAATTATAGTTATTTTAATAAAGACTTAGGAAGTTAATCATTTCTGATAATTTATTTTATTTAAGGTATAGTACCAGCAACAATATTAGACAAAGACCAACAAACCTTAAACTACAATTAATAGTTACTTCTCTTCTTATTGATTTACATTTATGCTAAAGCAATATTTCAAAAGACTACAAAACTCCAGCTTATAAAACTTGATTTTTTTACTCATCATTTCCGCTTAAAATATTTCCAATAGTCTTTAGTGCTGGAGTTATTAGAGTATGTTTAGTAGAATTTAGTAATACTGTTAATTTTTTAATAAGTCTCTTATCTATTTACATATCTATTTCATAAATATCTTGAACTAAATAACTCAAACCCCAACTACTATCTATTAATTGTTCTTCATCATCGGTCCTAATTATAATTTCAGACAATATCAATATTAATCCTCTTATACCCTATTTATATAAATCAATAATAATATACAAATTTTGTAGTTGGTTTCCCTTTGGCCAAATTACTTAACGCCCAAACTATTGTTTTGATGAGTTCAGATTTTGTCTTTTTTTACTGCTTCCATATTCTTTTTAAGTGAAACAATATTCCTTTCTAAAGTAACATATCCCTAAATTTAATATTATCAGCAGCTATATTAGCTAAAGCCCATACTCCTAATTCAATAAATTCATCATATTAAGATTCAAGCCCCAGAAATAGAATATTGATTCCATCATTATCTAATATAATTTATATTTATTATTAGGTTTCAAATACAATATTACTTATAATCCAAAGTGCTTCATATCTTAACAATGGAATACTATCCATTTTAACAATAGAAAATATATTAAATTGAACATTTGTTTATAAAACCTTTTAAATCAATGATTCTATTGGCTATGCTACATTAGTATCACTCAATAATTTTCGACATCGATTAAGTCCATAATATTAGGAAATGATATCATCTGAATTAATTTTTGAAACATATTCTTCAAGTTTTTCTAAATCAGCATCTTATTAAGCCAAAGTTTCAACAGATTATTTAAGTTTTTGTTCTATATCATTAGGCAATGATTCAGGTATTAAGTTGAATGATATTAAATTTTATCATCCTTAATTGAATTTGTATCTTTTTCTTAATCATTCATTGAAAAAATTATTAGATATAAATTATTTTTGGTATAATTTTTATATTTCAAGTAATTTCATTATACGAAAAAGGAAATTTCGATAAATTCTGAAGATTTTTTGAATTAATTATAATTATCAAAATATTGTATAAATTATTACAAATAAAGTATACATTTTGAATAAAGATAATTTCCCATCATTCTATTAATGGATAATTAATAAACTAATTAAACAATTAAATTAATACTTATATGTTAACAAAGACCTTATAAAAATATCAAAAGTTTCTTAATAATAACATTTGATATATTAAGCATTTATTTAATAATTTGATATAGAAGACATATATTTTGATTTTGGATATAAATATCTATAACTCAAAAATCAGTGATAATATGGATAAATTTTGAGCAATATTAAAAATAGTATTAAAACTAAAAAAAATGGTTAAATATTAATTTTAATTAAATTCTTAAAAATTAACATATTTAATGAATATATTAATTAACCTGTTTATAAGTAATAATCTTATTAGTTAGTATTATTTGAATACTTCAAAACCTTTAAATTTATAAAAAATATCTCGAAAACTGTCAAGATTCATTTTATAGATTAGCATTTTAATCAAATAATTGATGGATAAACTTTCTTAAAATCACTTTTCAACAACATTAAGAAATTTTGAGAAGATATAAGAATAGGGATGCTGATATTCACTCATATAAAGAAGAAAGTTTATTTTAAATCTAATCAATATATCAGGTAATTAAGTATTGATTTATAGACCTTTATTTAAAAAAAATTATAGTTTTAATGATTTATAAACATTTGGATATTAAATATAATTAACACCATTTAAATAAATGAAACCTAAATTTTATTTCTAATTGAAATTAATTTAAAATTTGTTTGATTTCAAAGCATAATATAGATAATTTTTTTGTAAAATCTATCAATATTAATAAATTAAAATAAAATCAATACATAGTAATAGATTATTGCCTTATTACATTTAAAAAATTAAGGATTCATTCTAATAAAATGCTTTTATAACTGTATTACTTAAGTTGTTATTAAAAGAATAAATGCTAATTTTCAAAATTGAAATTCAGGATCAAATTTGAAGGATTA